CTACCATTACCATTTACTGTTCCTATTATACGTACACTATATTATAAATACTATCATTATTAATAATGTAGATGTGCCTGTGCGTAAGGGTGTGAATGAGTGTATGTGTTTATCTGTAATACGTTGTAATTTGTGAATTACCTCCCTTGATTGTGTTGTGTACAAGGTGGGTTTTTTTTTTATTTTCATCTAATGTTTTAATTAAGCTACTAGTTCTATAAATTAGTATTGTTCTACTCCAGTAGCTATCCATGGAGAAAATTGATATAGGCTTTGCCTGTTATTCAATCCATTTGGCCATAACATCGGTCGATGATATTCGTTGTAATTAATGACTTATCGAAGTTAAGTATTAAACAACTTCAATTTTGATCAACAATAAACCATCAACACTTTCAATATAGAAATTGATTTTATTTATTAATTTGACTAGGGGATTAGGTTGAAATTATTTTTCTTTGTGGTAAGTTCAAGCCAATATAAGTATTGGTACATACGGATGATGCAAATAGGGTGGCACTAGATGTCGTATTACTATACCAGAGGAAACTACTTTGTAGCGGTTTCCCATTTCCCGCCGATTGCCTGAACAAGAATATTTTACAAAAATGTGATATATCTAATTTTTTACAAGAATACCTACATAAATATTTCTAAAGATATTGAAATAATATCATCAGTTCCGTCCTTTGCTACAGGCAGATTTGACAAGTTTGACAGCTCAGCATTTCTTTCCAAAAACACGGATTTTTCTATACGAACATTCATGTTCTACATGCTATTGGAACGAAGTAAAGGATCATTTATCGAGTAAAACGTACTCATCAAAGACCGTTTAATATAAAACAATTCGCAAATCTTGAGAATTTATCCAGTTGGCCAATTAAATCGTGTATATTTTAAGCAAAACGAAAACCACGTGAAATGAATAACACCGAATGTCAACTTCATTTTGTTGTTGATCGCAACGAGAACGGTTAAAAGTGGTTAAAAATGGTGGAAAATAAATTCTCTGTGATATTTCAAAAATTGTGGCAACCCTACCACATGGAGATCAGAACAAGTGTACAGGGAAACAAATAAGGTATGATCATCATTTAGTGATGTCTTTATAGATTATCTGCAAAATTTCAAAATTATAGACGTGTCAAGGAAATTAAATCAAATGAAGAGGTCCACTCATGAAATTTGTAATCTGTTTTGTTTTGTGTGTATGTTTTTTTAGTTTAATAATGTCACAATTCTGACGTCGATATAGCACGTTGTGTATGTCTGTTTATATTTGGGTGTACTGACAAGTGTATAATATCTATTGATTGTAGCCTAGATGTATAAACCAAACTATTAAATGAGTTAAACAGAGCTGAACGAAGACATACTATACACCTTAGTGTGTGCTACAAGCAATATTATTTTAGACTTAAATGGTGCCAACAATGAAACTAGTCAATGTATTTATTTGAAAATAATTATAGATTTATAGAAATGTAGATAAACCACGCTGATATGGAAGAGAAGAAACAAGATCACTGAAAGTGTTTTTGTAACTCATCTTGCAGAGCCATACAGAGATTTGTTGTTATATCTTCCACCTTTTGTAACATTTGATAAGACAAATTGTTATTATTTATTCACAAATCATTGTCTCTTTTAAGCAGATTCCAAATTAAAATGACATTACCATTTACATTTTGGCTGTATAATCTATATATAAAATAGAATATATGATTTATATGGATATCCAACGGATTGCATGATTGGAAAATCCAGAGTATAACACCCTTATGTATACCATATATAAAATGAAAGTAGATTTTAAAAAATACGTGGTTATAAATACTGCAGTTCTTAAATGTGTATGTATACGTTACACCCAGGTGGCAACAGACACAACACACCGATCTGGCTATACAAACTAGATAGACCGTGACTGGGTTGGGTCAAATGGAGAGAGAAGGTTTAAACAATGTCTGATACAACATTCTAAACAGACGGAACAATGGAAGCTTTTATTGAGACGGTGAAGACATAACTCGGTAAGTACTTTGCAGTGGCGATGGTTGTGCGTGGATTGTGAAAATTTTAGAATCTAGATTCTGAATTAACTTGAAACAGTCATAGTGATACACGTTCTTGGTTGTCTGAAATCAGCTGAACCCTACCTCAGGTAAGATCAAGGTTATATCAAGAGAAGTATATGGCTATAAGTATAGCATTGCACATTAAAAGGCTTAATGTATCTAAACTTAAAACATGTATTATTTTGACATACATGCTTAGTGTGTAATAACTTCATCACATTATAATTGATAAGATTACTCTTCACCGAGTACATGTATTATGTTCAATCAAAGTTAGTGTAGAATTAACGTATTCTATGCATAATCATAATTTGTAGAATTTACATTATTTTTCATTTCAATTGCACGTTTTTCATATTTGTATGCTCTTCATATTTGAAGGAAATAAAGACAATAATATGTGTAACTATGACTGAACAATACATTCCTTCAATATTTGAATTCTCTGTGAATTTCCGAAGCAACCTGAAATTTGATATATCGAATCTACTGCAACTCACTCCCATAAGATGCGTATCTGTATTAGAATTTACTTAAGTTGATAGAAGATCTGGGGTTGACTATTTCTATTAAATTCAATGAAGAGCTACTCAGTTATCACTGGTTATATAAATCTTGTCCACATACGTAATGTCTCCAAACGAACTGTGATTAACTGAACATTTTCATTATTTCAACCGTAACGTCATAGCTTCATGACATGATCTGCATTGTGACGTCATCACTGATTGAGATATAGATTCCTTTCATCAGTGTAATAAAATGCTAATTTCATAAAATTATATGATGAACAGAATCTTATATTCGTTCAATTTCATTAGTGATTGGATAAGCTAGTCACGTGTTCTTCACTTCAACCTGCCAGAGACTCGATACAATGAAGAATTCTTATATACTAGGATAATAAATCTTATATAAATAGGAAATGTTCCCGCCAATTAATATCTTTTTTTCTGAAATGTTCTGACCTCACTTATTTACATAATTAACATTATTATGTACTGTAGGATTAAAAATGTAAGGTTATCACAACAAACACTTATAAACCTGACAGATGTCATGATACTGTCCATAATTGAAGCGTTGGATAACCCGTGACTATAAACCACTCTCCATACCTGTAGCGTCAGGTAACTTGTGACTATAAACCACTGTCTATACCTGTAACATCAGGTAACCTGTGACTATAAACCACTGTCCATACCTGTAGCGTCAGGTAACTTGTGACTATAAACCACTGTCCATACCTGTAGCGTCAGGTAACCCGTGACTATAAACCACTGTCCATCCCTGTAGCGTCAGGTAACTTGTGACTATAAACCACTGTCCATCCCTGTAGCGTCAGGTAACCCGTGACTATAAACCACTGTCCATACCTGTAGCGTCAGTTGACCCGTGACTATAAACCACTGTCCATCCCTGTAGCGTCAGGTAACTTGTGACTATAAACCACTGTCCATCTTTGTAGCGTCAGGTAACCCGTGACTATAAACCATTGTCCATACCTGTTGCGTCAGGTAACCCGTGACTATAAACCACTGTCCATACCTGTAGCGTCAGGTAACCCGTGACTATAAACCACTGCCCATGCCTGTAGCGTCAGGTAACCCGTGACTATAAACCACTGTCCATACCTGTAGCGTCTGGTAACTTGTGACTATAAACCACTGTCCATCCCTGTAGCGTCAGGTAACTTGTGACTATAAACCACTGTCCATCTTTGTAGCGTCAGGTAACCCGTGACTATAAACCACTGTCCTTCCCTGTAGCGTCAGGTAACTTGTGACTATAAACCACTGTCCATCTTTGTAGCGTCAGGTAACCCGTGACTATAAACCACTGTCCTTCCCTGTAGCGTCAGGTAACTTGTGACTATAAACCACTGTCCATCCCTGTAGCGTCAGGTAACTTGTGACTATAAACCACTGTCCATCCCTGTGGCGTCAGGTAACCCGTGACTATAAACCACTGCCCATACCGGTAGCGTCTGGTAACCCGTGACTATAAACCACTGTCCATCCCTGTAGCGTCAGGTAACTTGTGACTATAAACCACTGTCCATCCCTGTTGCGTCAGGTAACCCGTGACTATAAACCACTGTCCATCCCTGTTGCGTCAGGTAACTTGTGACTATAAACCACTATCCATACCTGTAGCATCAGGTAACCCGTGACTATAAAACATTACCCGTACTGTAACGTCGCCCATATATGTAGTGTATAGAATTTCATATATGTATATCATGATTTAGACTTCACGCTGGAGTACAACATCCCACTTTAAAAGCCTAACAAATCTGAACGAAATCATCACCTACAACAAACCTGACATTTACTATATGTGTATATATTTCTCATGGTTAAGGGTTTCATTTTATGCCTTTTAAGATTTCTTTTGGCGTTTTAAAGACAATTATCAATGGTTTCATTTGATGATCTTTATTGAATTAATTTGATGCTTAAATTTAATGATTCCTTAGGATTTTTGGTGATTTTTAATTCATTAATTTGATATTTTTTTATTATTCCATTTGATGTGTTTTAATGATGGTATTCAATAATTCTGAATTACTTTTGCTACATCGATGACACCCGCCACGTGGTCAGTTCATATAATGTCACGTTCCTAAATGAGAAAATGGTCACCAACAACAGTACCACCAGGCATACTGACAATAGGAGTAACTTAAAGATCATATATAAAGTTGTCATATTAAACGTCGAAAGGCTTTAAAAAGTTACAGGAATCCAGGAAAAAATGAGTAGGATAAATGGTTACTTTTGAATCAATTATATCACATTGATGTTCAATATCAATTAAGGTCAAATTCTTCTTTGATCAAGTGAAAGTTAATTTCATCATCATGTTTCAGTGTTTTTGTTGTTCTCCTCTTTGTAGGATCTCCAACATCCTACAATCATGTCTGATCAGGGAGACCATTACTATACATCTTGGATTCTCCATCGGGTACTAGACAAGTTAATAGGGAGCGCGGATCTAGTAGCCCTGAAAAGGAAACTCAAAGTGTTAACTGAGCACTTTGATAATGTCAATATGGATACGGTAAATCAATTTTACACCGGAAGTTCAGCTGAAGGAGTAGAAATGCCAGGCTCGGACGTGGACGTCATGCTTACTTTAAAAGATATCATAGTTTTGTGCCAAGAAGCGGACACCTGTTATCTACCAGACAATATCAGTAAAACAGTGTTAGTGATGAGAGATGCTGACAGCAGACCTGGTTATATGAACTTGGAATTAGCTAAGCTGCGACAGAGAGTTTCAAGGAATTTATTTGAAGCAATTGTTCAAATTGGTGATATACATTTCATATCGAGTGAAATATTTAACCGGTCATACCGTGATAAATTGAGAACCTTCTTTCAATTAAAAATGGAAAATCATGGTCCAGCTGCGTCACTGGCAGATAATGAGAGTAATGCACGTGCAGACATTGATGTGGTGTGTTCTTTCTCGTGCAGTAGCTGGCCCAAAGAAGCAGATGAGTGGGTAACAAGGCCCCGCTTTCATAACTGGCCGAGTCAGTCGTTAAGAGATCAGATAGTACAGGACGGCTGCCATATTGTCCCAGTAGGAGATAAAACGTCTGCTGGCACATTCCTGCAATGGAGGATTTCATTTGTTACCGCGGAAAGGAAACTCATTCATTCTCTCACTCATACACAATTTTTGGTGTACGGGCTTCTGAAGTACTTTCTCAAACAGATGTCAGAGATGTTGAAACAGTTACTTGGCGAAACGGAAATCTTGTCATCTTACATCATAAAAACTATTGTATTTCATGCCGTGGAAAGTACACCTAATTCAATGTGGCAGGAGAAACATACATTCGCTTGTTTCATGTTTTGCATAAACATGTTGATATCCTGGGTGAGGGCAGGATACTGTCCTAATTACTTCATTAACAGAAACAACATGTTTCTTGGTAAAGTTTATGGGGAAAATCAACAGAATCTTCTGCGTTTTCTCATCGATCTCCATGACATGAAATGGGGATGTCTTTCAGTTGGAGAATTTATAACGCCATCTGTAGGAGAGCACATCGACAGGGTGCGGAGTGGAGAATGGGACATCATGTCACCTCACCCTGAGTTGTTGGAACAAATGTTTGATTTAGAAATATTCAAAGGCATTTTCTCGTTTGGATATTCTTCTGCTGTTCTCCGTGTGTCACTAAAACTGCTGTCTGAATCAATGACGGACATAGATGAATTCCTTAATTATGCTATTTCAGCACAGGCTTTTAGCTATTCAGGAATGGAACTCTTTGGAGAACACACTGCTGCAGAAGGAAACAAAGAGAAATACAAATCTCTCAGGAAATCCAAGAATCTTCTTAAACCACTGGCTTCAATATGTGCAAGTCCAGGGCTACTGACACTGGCAACATATCACTACCAGACTGGAAATTATGTCAAAGCATTGGATATATGTGGAGAAGTAATTTCAACATTCAAACTTTATGTTGGCTCTGATGCAAAAATACGAGATATCGACATGTATCAACAGCTCTTTTGTGGACAAGGGTACACTCTACTACAGAAAAGCCGAGAAGGATGTGTCTCAAATGTCATATTCCTACCAAACGCTCCACAATTCTACCCATCTCATTTACACCAGGAGATGACAAAGAATACAAAGATGTTGTACCTTAGTGTCCCACCACTCCCGTATGCTGTATTTCTGTCTTTCCTCTGCTACCACGAGCAAGACGACCCAGGAAGACGTGACGCAGCGTTAATTAATCTCCGAGCAGTGAAATATGACGAGGAACAGGGAGTTGGCTACCACTGGATAGTTCACAATCTGTTAGGGATCTGTTATGAAATGATTGGGGATAGAAGCCGGGCCCTCAGAGAATACAACGATTCTCTTCATGTTCGAAGTTTAACAACATATAAGAACCCAGCAAAGGAGAGAATAGACAAAATAGGGCTGTTGTAAACTAAAGGCCACATAGGAACTGTTTGTATCATTAACAGGCTGTCAATAGTGTTAATACAACGCTTGTATTGTAGACAACAGAGCATCAATCTAACAGTTGTACAAGACTTCTTGTATAGACAACAGAACATCAATGTAACACTTGTACATCACTTATAGTATAGACAACAGGACATCAATGTAACACTTGTACAACACTTATAGTATAGACAACACGACATCAATGTAACACTTGTACATCACTTATAGTATAGACAACACGACATCAATCTAACACTTGTACAACACATATAGTATAGACAACACTCAATGTAACAACACATATAGTATAGACAACACGACATCAATCTAACACTTGTACAACACATATAGTATAGACAATAGGACATCAATGTAACACTTGTACATCACTTATAGTATAGACAACACGACATCAATGTAACACTTGTACAACAATTATAGTATAGACAACAGGACATCAATCTAACACTTGTACAACACATATAGTATAGACAATAGGACATCAATGTAACACTTGTACATCACTTATAATATAGACAACACGACATCAATGTAACACTTGTACAACACTTATAGTATAGACAACACGACATCAATGTAACAATTGTACAACACTTATAGTATAGACAACAGGACATCAATCTAACACTTGCACAACACATATAGTATAGACAATAGGACATCAATGTAACACTTGTACATCGCTTATAGTATAGACAACACGACATCAATGTAACACTTGTACAACACTTATAGTATAGACAACAGGACATCAATCTAACACTTGTACAACACATATAGTATAGACAATAGGACATCAATGTAACACTTGTATACCACTTATAGTATAGACAACACGACATCAATGTAACACTTGTACAACACTTATAGTATAGACAACAGGACATCAATCTAACACTTGTACAACACATATAGTATAGACAACACGACATCAATCTAACACTTGCACAACACATATAGTATAGACAATAGGACATCAATGTAACACTTGTACATCGCTTATAGTATAGACAACACGACATCAATGTAACACTTGTACAACACTTATAGTATAGACAACAGGACATCAATCTAACACTTGTACAACACATATAGTATAGACAATAGGACATCAATGTAACACTTGTATACCACTTATAGTATAGACAACACGACATCAATGTAACACTTGTACAACACTTATAGTATAGACAACAGGACATCAATCTAACACTTGTACAACACATATAGTATAGACAACACGACATCAATGTAACACTTGTACATCACTTATAGTATAGTCAACATGACATCAATGTAACACTTGTACAACACTTATAATATAGACAATAGGACATCAATGTAACACTTGTACAACACTTATAGTATAGACAACAGGACATCAATGTAACACTTGTACAACACTTATAGTATAGACAACAGGACATCAATCTAACACTTGTACAACACATCAATGTAACACTTGTACATCACTTATAGTATAGTCAACATGACATCAATGTAACACTTGTACAACACTTATAATATAGACAAGATGACATCAATGTAACACTTGTACAACACTTATAGTATAGACAACAGGACATCAATGTAACACTTGTACAACACTTATAGTATAGACAACACGACATCAATGTAACACTTGTACATCACTTATAGTATAGTCAACATGACATCAATGTAACACTTGTACAACACTTATAATATAGACAAGATGACAACAATGTAACACTTGTACAACACTTATAGTATAGACAACAGGACATCAATATAATAAGCTCATAAATTTTAATAAGATGTGATAATGTTTGAAATATGTGACAGTATCAAGAAAAAAATCAAATTCTCATAGTTTTCTCTCCTACGTGTCTGTGCCTTTTTTTGAAACGGGGTTGAATAAACAGGTCTTATCAAAACATGTACATCATCTAACATCATTCGTCAATTAAATTTATAATGAAATCATTTGATTATTGTTTGTGTTTTGTTAAAACCCTGAATTGTCTATATCCGTTGTATTATGTGATAGTGAACAGATAATAAATCAACTTATTTATCTGCCTGATCAAGAGATCCTTTATAAGATTTTGTATTGTAAAGTATTTTAATGTAACTATTTTATTGTCCAGTCATCATTTTTTGAAGCTCAAATATGGGAAATGGTAATTTCAATTGAGCGAATCCAAAAATTTTCCAATGTAAGCGATCGCAAATTTGGTATAATTACCAAACAGATTTTATAAATAGAAGCAGCAGTCTTTTACACGTTTTCACTCTTCCTTTCAAATAATTACTTTTGAAAGGCTCTGCCTTGTTGGGTAGCCATACTAAGAATTCCCAATGATCATCTAATTGGAAATCTATATTGAATGTTGTACTTAAAGTTAGTACAATACTCATTTTCTCTCCTGGATTTCTTTCTGTATCATTTTCTCCAAAGAAGGACCCACTTTTCTATCATTCATTATATGTTGTCGATACCTTGTTACCTTCATGTATGCTTGGCCTGGCTGGGATATTTTTAGTCATATGATACATTTTACAAATATGTATTGAAGATATATTATTAACCCCCGCGAAAACACCAAAAGAGGGCTTTTCTGGGCTATAACTTCGAAACCATTCAATTCAACTTCACAAAACTTTCTGTATATATTAAGTCATTGCCCTAGTTGTGCCTTTTGCTATTGTCGACATTTCACTTTTTATATTTTTTTCTGTTACCATGGAAACATAATAAAAAAACACCAAAAGAGGGATTTTCCGGGCTATAACTTCCAAACCGTTCCACTCGACTTCACAAAACTTTCTGCACATATTAAGTGGGTGCCCTATTTGTGTCTTTCGCTATTACCGTCATTTCACTTTATATATTTTTTTCTGTTTCCATGGAAACATAGTCAGATAACACAAAAAAAGGCTTTTCCAGGCTATATCTTCCAAACTGTTCCACTCAACTTCACAAAACTTTCCGCACATATTAACTTAGTGCCATAGTTGAACCTTTTGCTATTAACAACATTTCATTTTTTTATTATATTTTTTCAGTTTTTGCAAAAATATAGTTAAAAACCTCAAATGAAGGCTTTTTTGGGTTCCATACCAACACCTGTGCGCGGGGGATAATGCCACGCTTTGCGGCACCTTGTTTAATTTAATAATTATATTTAATTTTGAATAAGAAACTTTCGAGAATTTATATATAAAGGAGAAAATGTTTTAAATTATGACGATATAGCTGAGCGAGGTTATACTATACACCATTCCAGCACTACAGACATGAGTATGTCAAATTTACTGCAATAATGATTTTGTTGAAATGTATTAAACAAAACTGATGTCAAATCGAAATAAAAATAATAGTAGTTAAATAAACGTAAAAGTAAAAAAATATGCAAAAATGTATATGTGCCTTTTTAGCTCTTTGCCTTAATCTGAATTAGAAAACATTGTTTTCTACGTATTGGCATAATTAACTAAAACTTGGGCAACAGGATAGTTTCAAAATTCCGAGTCTTTTTATCTCACCTGTGTTCATTTGTTATCTTAGTTTCGAAACGACATGTACTCTGTATATAATATATGTTTTGCATCTAACTTCATAGGTGATAACACATTCAGATTATTGAACTATTCAAAATACGTATACTTTTCAATTTTGAACAAAAGGTTATCAAATGTATTTTTTAGATGTTCATCAAAATGCCTCTTATGAAATAACAGCCGTCTAAAATATAAGTTGAACCATCATCCAAATGTACTTCATAAGATTCTTGTATCTAGCGTCATGTTGTCCGTGGTGGGTCGAGTTGTCCGTGGTGTATATAAGTGAAAGAAAACAGTTTGAAATGTAAACTGAACATTCATCAAATGGTACAGAATTTTCGTCTTGCATGCAGTGTTGAGTTGTTCGTCGTGGTTAGGGTTGTACGTGATGGTTCGGGTTGTCCGTGGTGGTTCGGGTTGTATGTGGTAGTCCGGGTTGCCAGAGGTGGTTCGGGATGTATGTGGTGGTTCGGGTTATCCTTGGTGGTTCGGGTTGTACGTGATGTGGTGGTTTGGGTTGTACATAGTGGTTTGGTTGTCCGTGATATTCTGGTTGTCCGTGGTGGTTCGGGTTGTCCGTGGTGGTTCGGGTTGTCTGTGGTGTGGTTGTTCGGCTAGTCCGTGGCGGTTCGAGTTGCACATTGTGTGGTGGTTCTGGATGTCCTTGGTGGTTTGGGTTGTATGGAGTTCCTGGTGGTTTGGTTTGTCCGTGGCGGTTTAGGTTGTACGTGGTAGTTCGGGTTGTTCGTGGTGGTTTGGGTTGTCCGTGGCGGTTTAGGTTGTACGTGGTAGTTCGCGTTTTCCTCGATAGTTCGGGTTGTACGTGGTGGTTTGGGTTGTCCGTGGCGGTTTAGGTTGTACGTGGTAGTTCGTGTTTTCCTCGATAGTTCGGGTTGTACGTAGTGGTTTAGGTTGTACGTGGTAGTTCGCATTTTCCTCGATAGTTCGGGTTGTACATGGTGGTTCGGGTTGTACGTGGTGGTTTGGGTTGTACGTGGTTTTGTACGTGGTTTAGGTTGTACGTGGTTTCGTTTTCCGATAGTTCGGGTTGTACGTGGTGGTTTAGGTTGTACGTGGTAGTTCGCATTTTCCTCGATAGTTCGGGTTGTACGTGGTGGTTTTGGTTGTCCGTGGCGGTTTAGGTTGTACGTGGTAGTTCGCGTTTTCCTCGATAGTTCGGGTTGTACGTGGTGGTTTAGGTTGTACGTGGTAGTTCGCATTTTCCTCGATAGTTCGTGTTGTACATGGTGGTTTGGGTTGTACGTGGTGGTTTGGATTGTCCGTAGCGGTTTAGGTTGTACGTGGTAGTTCGCATTTTCCTCGATAGTTCGGGTTGTACGTGGTGGTTTAGGTTGTACGTGGTAGTTCGCATTTTCCTCGATAGTTCGGGTTGTACATGGTGGTTCGGGTTGTACGTGGTGGTTTGGGTTGTACGTGGTGGTTTGGGTTGTCCGTGGCGGTTTAGGTTGTACGTGGTAGTTCGCATTTTCCTCGATAGTTCGGGTTGTACAAGGTGGTTCGGGTTGTACGTGGTGGTTTGGGTTGTACATGGTGGTTTGGTTTTTCATGGTGGTTTGGTTGTCCATGGTGGTTTGGGTTGTCCATGGTGGTTTGGGTTGTCCATGGAGATTCATAGTGCAATAATTTCTTACTAGCTTTCAGCAAGTCCACTGCTCATGTCCCCTATGGATCACTATCAATTTTATATCATGTCTTTAACATACAGCGGCCCTGTTTTAGTTCCCCTTGCCTTGTAATCCCGTATATCAGGGAGCAATTGTAAAGAAAATACATATGCATAATTACTCTCAATTTGAAATTCACAGTGACATGAAAATCCCTGTTATATTACCTGTATACAAAGTATATACAAAATGAAAGTATGATTCACATACTGTTCCTATAAATACTGCGGTTCTAAAAACCTGATTGCGCATATAGCAACCAGGTGACAACAGACCCAACATAACAACATGACTATAAATAACACAGTTGTTAAGACGGTTAAGTCAGTTTTTACGGAGACAGGACATGGATACTTTTATAATTGGGATACCCTGTCTATCTCCTACAGCCAACAAATCCATATACCTGTAACACACAGGACAGATGATTCTTTGTGAACTCGATGCTGACTTTATTTACTTTTAACCGTCAGAAGTCTGAAGTCCGCTAAACTGAGGTATAACTCACATTCAGACAACATCCACAGTCAGGGAAGACCATCATACGACACCACTATCTCCATTTCCCAGGATGTGTTCTGACATTACGTGATATTTAATATCAAGTCACAGATCTAGTTGACACAATACTGGTAAGAATTGTAACTGTATCTAATATCTGTTTTCTGTAAATTGTACGTAATAACTGTCTAACCCAGATTCTCGTCATCCTGGAGATGTATACACTCTCTTACCATATGTTTTATAAAAGATGGTTCTGGTTGTACGTGGTGGTTCGAGTTGTACGTGGCGGTTTGGGTTGTACGTTGTGGATCGAGGTGTTCGTGGCGTGGCTGTTCGGGTTGTACATGGTGTTTTTTGGTTGTCCGTGGTAATTCTTGTCGTCCGTGGCGGTTAGGGTTGTACATGGCGGTTAAGGTTGTACGTGGTGATTCGGGTCGTCCCTGGCGGTTAGGGTTGTCCGTGGTAGTTCGGGTTGTTCGTGGTTGTTCGGGTTGTATGTAGTGTGGTGGTTTGTGTTGTACGTGGTGGTTCGAGGTGTTCGTGGCATGGCGATTTGGGTTGTACATGGTGGTTTGGGTTGTATATGGTGGTTCGGGTTGTAATTGGTGTGTTGGTTTGGGTTGTCCGTGGTGATTCGGGTCGTCCGTGGCGGTTAGAGTTGTCCGTGGTAGTTCGGGTTGTACGTGGTGTGGCTGTTCGGGTTGTACGTAGTGGTTCGAGTTGTACGTGGCGGTTCGGTTTGTATGTGGTGGTTCGTGTTGTACGTGATGTGGTGGTTTGGGTTGTACGTGGCGGTTCGGGTTGTACATGGTGGTTTTGGTTGTCCGTGGTAATTCGGGTCGTCAGTGGCGGTTCGGGTTGTACATGGTGGTTTTGGTTGTACGTGGTAATTCGGGTCGTCAGTGGCGGTTAGGGTTGTACATGGCGGTTAAGGTCGTCCAAGGCGGTTCGGGTTGTACATGGCGGTTAAGGTTGTACGTGGTGATTCGGGTCGTCCAAGGCGTTCGGGTTGTATGTAGTGGTTCGGGTTGTCCGTGCTGATTCGTGTTGTCCGTGGTGTGGCGGTTCGGGTTGTACGTGGTGGTTCGGGTTATACGTTGTGGTTTGGGTTATACGTGGTGTGGTGATTTGGGTTGTACGTGGTGGTTCGAGGTGTTGGTGGCGTGGCGGTTCGGGTTGTACATGTTGGTTTGAGTTGTAAGTGGTGTGGTGGTTTGGGTTGTTTCAAGGAGATTAAAGGTGTCCGTAGATGTTCAAGTTATCCGTGGTGGTTCGGGTTGTCCGTGACGGTTCGGGTTGTCCGTGACGGTTCAGGTTGTACGTGATAGATCGCATTGTCCGAGTTAGTTCGGGTTGTACGTGGTGTGGTGATTTGGGTTGTACGTGGTGGTTCGAGGTGTTCGTGGCGTGGCGGTTCGGGTTGTACATGGTGGTTTGGGTTGTCCGTGGTGGTTCGAGGTGTTCGTGGCGTGGCGGTTCGGGTTGTACATGGTGGTTTGGGTTGTCCGTGGTGGTTCGGGTTGTCCTTGACGGTACAGATTGTACGTGGTAGTTCGCATTGTCTGTGGTAGTTCGGGTTGTACGTGGCGTATCTAATATCTGTAAATTGTAAGTAATAACTGTCTAACCCAGATTCTCTTCATCCTGGAGACGTATACACTCTGTTACCATACTCTTTATAAAAGATGTATATCAGAAATCGTGAATTATGATGTTTAGGTACATTGAATAATTAGATATGATTTTTTTTGTATTTTGTTGTCATAACATACAGTATGTATTATCAATATTATCTTTTGACATATTGTCTTGTTTAGAATATCATTCATCTATTATATTTCCATCATAACTTAATCACCAGATCGTGCAGTCTCATTACTGTAGTTAGCTATAAGGAATCGCTATATCACAAAACAGGTGAGTTATCGTCAAAATTGTTTATATACCGAAATTCGGAAATCGCTTCGTTTTATAAGACCATGCTTTAAACTCCAGTAAAGATTTAGGTGTGACGTTTTGATGACTACTCGGTCATCCTCAACACTAAAACTGTACTAACACTAACGTGCTTAGTGTACGAGATATACTGAAAGGATAAAGAAACGCAGGGTAATATTTATTCCGACATTTTGAAAACGCGTTCTCCAAATAAAGTGAAACTTTGTGGATTTGATAATTAGGTCATATTACACCTTGTCATAGTTGTGCCTTTTGCTATTGTCGACATTTCACTTTTTATATTTTTTTCTGTTACCATGGAAACATAATAAAAAAACACCAAAAGAGGGATTTTCCGGGCTATAACTTCCAAACCGTTCCACTCGACTTCACAAAACTTTCTGCACATATTAAGTGGGTGCCCTATTTGTGTCTTTCGCTATTACCGTCATTTCACTTTATATATTTTTTTCTGTTTCCATGGAAACATAGTCAGATAACACAAAAAAAGGCTTTTCCAGGCTATATCTTCCAAACTGTTCCACTCAACTTCACAAAACTTTCCGCACATATTAACTTAGTGCCATAGTTGAACCTTTTGCTATTAACAACATTTCATTTTTTTATTATATTTTTTCAGTTTTTGCAAAAATATAGTTAAAAACCTCAAATGAAGGCTTTTTTGGGTTCCATACCAACACCTGTGCGCGGGGGATAATGCCACGCTTTGCGGCACCTTGTTTAATTTAATAATTATATTTAATTTTGAATAAGAAACTTTCGAGAATTTATATATAAAGGAGAAAATGTTTTAAATTATGACGATATAGCTGAGCGAGGTTATACTATACACCATTCCAGCACTACAGACATGAGTATGTCAAATTTACTGCAATAATGATTTTGTTGAAATGTATTAAACAAAACTGATGTCAAATCGAAATAAAAATAATAGTAGTTAAATAAACGTAAAAGTAAAAAAATATGCAAAAATGTATATGTGCCTTTTTAGCTCTTTGCCTTAATCTGAATTAGAAAACATTGTTTTCTACGTATTGGCATAATTAACTAAAACTTGGGCAACAGGATAGTTTCAAAATTCCGAGTCTTTTTATCTCACCTGTGTTCATTTGTTATCTTAGTTTCGAAACGACATGTACTCTGTATATAATATATGTTTTGCATCTAACTTCATAGGTGATAACACATTCAGATTATTGAACTATTCAAAATACGTATACTTTTCAATTTTGAACAAAAGGTTATCAAATGTATTTTTTAGATGTTCATCAAAATGCCTCTTATGAAATAACAGCCGTCTAAAATATAAGTTGAACCATCATCCAAATGTACTTCATAAGATTCTTGTATCTAGCGTCATGTTGTCCGTGGTGGGTCGAGTTGTCCGTGGTGTATATAAGTGAAAGAAAACAGTTTGAAATGTAAACTGAACATTCATCAAATGGTACAGAATTTTCGTCTTGCATGCAGTGTTGAGTTGTTCGTCGTGGTTAGGGTTGTACGTGATGGTTCGGGTTGTCCGTGGTGGTTCGGGTTGTATGTGGTAGTCCGGGTTGCCAGAGGTGGTTCGGGATGTATGTGGTGGTTCGGGTTATCCTTGGTGGTTCGGGTTGTACGTGATGTGGTGGTTTGGGTTGTACATAGTGGTTTGGTTGTCCGTGATATTCTGGTTGTCCGTGGTGGTTCGGGTTGTCCGTGGTGGTTCGGGTTGTCTGTGGTGTGGTTGTTCGGCTAGTCCGTGGCGGTTCGAGTTGCACATTGTGTGGTGGTTCTGGATGTCCTTGGTGGTTCGGGTTGTACGTGGAGTTCGGGTTGTTCGTGGTGGTTTGGGTTGTCCGTGGCGGTTTAGGTTGTACGTGGTAGTTCGCGTTTTCCTCGATAGTTCGGGTTGTACGTGGTGGTTTGGGTTGTCCGTGGCGGTTTAGGTTGTACGTGGTAGTTCGTGTTTTCCTCGATAGTTCGGGTTGTACGTAGTGGTTTAGGTTGTACGTGGTAGTTCGCATTTTCCTCGATAGTTCGGGTTGTACATGGTGGTTCGGGTTGTACGTGGTGGTTTGGGTTGTACGTGGTGGTTTGGGTTGTCCGTGGCGGTTTAGGTTGTACGTGGTAGTTCGCGTTTTCCTCGATAGTTCGGGTTGTACGTGGTGGTTTGGGTTGTCCGTGGCGGTTTAGGTTGTACGTGGTAGTTCGCGTTTTCCTCGATAGTTCGGGTTGTACGTGGTGGTTTAGGTTGTACGTGGTAGTTCGCATTTTCCTCGATAGTTCGGGTTGTACGTGGTGGTTTTGGTTGTCCGTGGCGGTTTAGGTTGTACGTGGTAGTTCGCGTTTTCCTCGATAGTTCGGGTTGTACGTGGTGGTTTAGGTTGTACGTGGTAGTTCGCATTTTCCTCGATAGTTCGTGTTGTACATGGTGGTTTGGGTTGTACGTGGTGGTTTGGATTGTCCGTAGCGGTTTAGGTTGTACGTGGTAGTTCGTGTTTTCCTCGATAGTTCGGGTTGTACGTAGTGGTTTAGGTTGTACGTGGTAGTTCGCATTTTCCTCGATAGTTCGGGTTGTACATGGTGGTTCGGGTTGTACGTGGTGGTTTGGGTTGTACGTGGTGGTTTGGGTTGTCCGTGGCGGTTTAGGTTGTACGTGGTAGTTCGCGTTTTCCTCGATAGTTCGGGCTGTACATGGTGGTTTAGGTTGTACGTGGTAGTTCGCATTTTCCTCGATAGTTCGGGTTGTACAAGGTGGTTCGGGTTGTACGTGGTGGTTTGGGTTGTACATGGTGGTTTGGTTTTTCATGGTGGTTTGGTTGTCCATGGTGGTTTGGGTTGTCCATGGTGGTTTGGGTTGTCCATGGAGATTCATAGTGCAATAATTTCTTACTAGCTTTCAGCAAGTCCACTGCTCATGTCCCCTATGGATCACTATCAATTTTATATCATGTCTTTAACATACAGCGGCCCTGTTTTAGTTCCCCTTGCCTTGTAATCCCGTATATCAGGGAGCAATTGTAAAGAAAATACATATGCATAATTACTCTCAATTTGAAATTCACAGTGACATGAAAATCCCTGTTATATTACCTGTATACAAAGTATATACAAAATGAAAGTATGATTCACATACTGTTCCTATAAATACTGCGGTTCTAAAAACCTGATTGCGCATATAGCAACCAGGTGACAACAGACCCAACATAACAACATGACTATAAATAACACAGTTGTTAAGACGGTTAAGTCAGTTTTTACGGAGACAGGACATGGATACTTTTATAATTGGGATACCCTGTCTATCTCCTACAGCCAACAAATCCATATACCTGTAACACACAGGACAGATGATTCTTTGTGAACTCGATGCTGACTTTATTTACTTTTAACCGTCAGAAGTCTGAAGTCCGCTAAACTGAGGTATAACTCACATTCAGACAACATCCACAGTCAGGGAAGACCATCATACGACACCACTATCTCCATTTCCCAGGATGTGTTCTGACATTACGTGATATTTAATATCAAGTCACAGATCTAGTTGACACAATACTGGTAAGAATTGTAACTGTATCTAATATCTGTTTTCTGTAAATTGTACGTAATAACTGTCTAACCCAGATTCTCGTCATCCTGGAGATGTATACACTCTCTTACCATATGTTTTATAAAAGATGGTTCTGGTTGTACGTGGTGGTTCGAGTTGTACGTGGCGGTTTGGGTTGTACGTTGTGGATCGAGGTGTTCGTGGCGTGGCTGTTCGGGTTGTACATGGTGTTTTTTGGTTGTCCGTGGTAATTCTTGTCGTCCGTGGCGGTTAGGGTTGTACATGGCGGTTAAGGTTGTACGTGGTGATTCGGGTCGTCCCTGGCGGTTAGGGTTGTCCGTGGTAGTTCGGGTTGTTCGTGGTTGTTCGGGTTGTATGTAGTGTGGTGGTTTGTGTTGTACGTGGTGGTTCGAGGTGTTCGTGGCATGGCGATTTGGGTTGTACATGGTGGTTTGGGTTGTATATGGTGGTTCGGGTTGTAATTGGTGTGTTGGTTTGGGTTGTCCGTGGTGATTCGGGTCGTCCGTGGCGGTTAGAGTTGTCCGTGGTAGTTCGGGTTGTACGTGGTGTGGCTGTTCGGGTTGTACGTAGTGGTTCGAGTTGTACGTGGCGGTTCGGTTTGTATGTGGTGGTTCGTGTTGTACGTGATGTGGTGGTTTGGGTTGTACGTGGCGGTTCGGGTTGTACATGGTGGTTTTGGTTGTCCGTGGTAATTCGGGTCGTCAGTGGCGGTTCGGGTTGTACATGGTGGTTTTGGTTGTACGTGGTAATTCGGGTCGTCAGTGGCGGTTAGGGTTGTACATGGCGGTTAAGGTCGTCCAAGGCGGTTCGGGTTGTACATGGCGGTTAAGGTTGTACGTGGTGATTCGGGTCGTCCAAGGCGTTCGGGTTGTATGTAGTGGTTCGGGTTGTCCGTGCTGATTCGTGTTGTCCGTGGTGTGGCGGTTCGGGTTGTACGTGGTGGTTCGGGTTATACGTTGTGGTTTGGGTTATACGTGGTGTGGTGATTTGGGTTGTACGTGGTGGTTCGAGGTGTTGGTGGCGTGGCGGTTCGGGTTGTACATGTTGGTTTGAGTTGTAAGTGGTGTGGTGGTTTGGGTTGTTTCAAGGAGATTAAAGGTGTCCGTAGATGTTCAAGTTATCCGTGGTGGTTCGGGTTGTCCGTGACGGTTCGGGTTGTCCGTGACGGTTCAGGTTGTACGTGATAGATCGCATTGTCCGAGTTAGTTCGGGTTGTACGTGGTGTGGTGATTTGGGTTGTACGTGGTGGTTCGAGGTGTTCGTGGCGTGGCGGTTCGGGTTGTACATGGTGGTTTGGGTTGTCCGTGGTGGTTCGAGGTGTTCGTGGCGTGGCGGTTCGGGTTGTACATGGTGGTTTGGGTTGTCCGTGGTGGTTCGGGTTGTCCTTGACGGTACAGATTGTACGTGGTAGTTCGCATTGTCTGTGGTAGTTCGGGTTGTACGTGGCGTATCTAATATCTGTAAATTGTAAGTAATAACTGTCTAACCCAGATTCTCTTCATCCTGGAGACGTATACACTCTGTTACCATACTCTTTATAAAAGATGTATATCAGAAATCGTGAATTATGATGTTTAGGTACATTGAATAATTAGATATGATTTGTTTGTATTTTGTTGACATAACATACAGTATGTATTATCAATATTATCTTTTGACATATTGTCTTGTTTAGAATATCATTCATCTATTATATTTCCATCATAACTTAATCACCAGATCGTGCAGTCTCATTACTGTAGTTAGCTATCAGGAATCGCTATATCACAAAACAGGTGAGTTATCGTCAAAATTGTTTATATACCGAAATTCGGAAATCGCTTCGTTTTATAAGACCATGCTTTAAACTCCAGTAAAGATTTAGGTGTGACGTTTTGATGACTACTCGGTCATCCTCAACACTAAAACTGTACTAACACTAACGTGCTTAGTGTACGAGATATACTGAAAGGATAAAGAAACGCAGGGTAATATTTATTCCGACATTTTGAAAACGCGTTCTCCAAATAAAGTGAAACTTTGTGGATTTGATAATTAGGTCATATTACACCTTGTCATGTATCGAAAATTTAGTCACGGTGCAGTGCGCAGCTCTGGTAAATGGAGGAAGGAAAAAACAAGAATCTCGTGCACCGTGTTGTTCTGGTCTCATGCAGCGTTGGTCAAGTCACTCTTCGTTAGTCTTTATACAGACCAACTGCTTCCCTAAAATTAATTGGGAATTTGATTCGTTTTAAGAATGGCACGACTCACAGGAGTTCAGATGGGTCAGGCCATTCAGATGCTGATGCAAGGACAGCTGCAAAATCAGGTTGCTAGGCACTTTGGTGTTAATATTTCCACCATAGAACGTCTTGTAAAACGTCTTCGGGAAACTGGGCGATTGGCCGATCGACCTAGGTCAGGACGTCCGCGCGTAACGTCACGACGTCAGGATCGCTATATCGTCGTCTCTCATGTGCGTAATCGGCGCCTTACTGCCGTTGAGAGTGCACTAAATGTTCGTGGAAATCATGGGCGTCCTATAAGTTCAAAAACTGTAAGGAATCGATTACGAGAAGTTGGTGTAAGAGCACGTCGCCCCTACGTAGGTCCACACCTTACCTCTGCTCGACGTCAGCGTCATATGGCCTGGGTCGCTGCACATGCTCCACGACGGTTTCCAGTGAGGCAGTGTTGACAAGTTTTCTTCACGGACGAGTCTCGATTCTGTCTTTATTGATCTGACGGCCGTCAACGTGTCTACCGACGTCGTGGCGAACGTTTTACGGACGCTTGCGTTGTAGAGAGGGATAGGTTTGGGGGCGGTTCAGTAATGGTGCGGGGAGAATTCTCAAACGGGTTAAAATCACAATTGGTTGTTATTGATGGCAATTTAACAGCAGCTAAGTATAGAGATGAGATCCTCCGACCCCATGTTATCCCTTTCTTACAGCAGCATAATCTAACCCTCCAGCAGGATAATGCTAGGCCCCACGTAGCAAGGATTTGCCAAGTCTTTCTGGCCAACAGCAACATTCAACCACTAGATTGGCCGCCATATAGCCCTGATTTGTCCCCGACCGAGCATCTTTGGGACCAATTGGATAGACAGGTTCGAAAGCGCCAGCCACCCCCTGCTACTCGAGAGCAGTTGACCAGAGCTCTGATTGAAGAGTGGGACAACATCCCCATAAGACGGATTAACACTCATATGAACTCTATGACCAGAAGAATAAGGGCCGTGACCACAGCAAACGGCGGACACACAAGATATTGATGACTCATTTCAATTTCAAAATCCTATGGGTCCATTCAATTTGATCGTTAGTACCTCTAAACCAATTGTCAGATGCAAAATACAGACTTTGGAAATCCTTTAGCTTTAATTTATCTGTAAGTATACAAAATTTCGTTTTAAATGAAGCCCGATATCTTACTTAATTTCTGGTTTAAAGTTCACCCTGCGTCTCTTTATCTTTTTAGTATAGTAAAACAAACTTGTTTGGCTGCACTACAATGCTCAAGGGTTCCAATATGTATGGTATAATGAGAATGTAATTTGGTATGATAAGCAAATCGGTCCGAAGAATTGGGCTTCGGGAGATAACGGTGAGTACAGAAACCCAGATATCTTATGCATGTAGAAAGCAAAACTTCTAATGAATATCGCGTTTTGCTGATTAAAAGTTAGTTGTTGCTATTCGTGGCAGACATTGACTGATAATATTTGGTTGAGAAGGTATAAAGCAGATTACACGGTATTCTGTGACAGAAAACAACACCACACATCCGCTCCAATAACGTTTCTGTTGGACATGTACTTTTAAGTCAATTTGAACAACAGTGCGACAAAATAAGTATTTACCCGTGTTTCTGTTGCCTAAGTTCCCTATATGTTCAGTATCACTGTGTATGCGACCTCCGGTATGTCTAGTTATAAACACCACCAGATTTGATATGATGTGCTTTTGAGTTCGTATATGATATCGAAATTCAAACGTCTAAATACTGTGGTGCTTTTTTTTCTTAATTTTTTCCTGTAAGAATCAGTGTTGTGTTTCCTTACATCCTATATATTTTATTGTTAGTGAAAAGTGACCATAACATTTTTCCATATTTGTAGGACGTCCGACCCGGTACTAATATGGCCGAACCAGTAGAACTATATGATAAGTCTTGGATTCTCTATCATGTCCTGGAAAGGATGATAGGGAGACGGGAGGAGATAGTCTTAAAACAGAATATGATGGATTGGAGGGGGTATGATTTCGACTGTTTATCAATCGGAAGTTCGGCGGAGGGAGGTAAGAACATGCCGGGCTCGGACATAGACCTAATGCTTATTCTAAAACATATCGTCGTCTGCTGTCAGGATCATGACGTTAGCAATCCATCATACAATGAAAATCAAACAATTTTTGTGATGAGAGATGCTGATAGCAGACCTGGTTATGTGAATTTGAAATTAGCTAAGTTCGGACAAATAAAAGATACTCTTATTGCAGATTCCATTGTTTCAGTCAATGGTGAGTATTTTATATCAAGTGAAATATTTAATAACTACATCAACGGAAGTTACAGTGGAACTATGAAATTTCAAATGGACACTAATGGTCCAGCGGCAACACTAAAGCATGAACAATTTGATGGAAGTTCAGATCTTGATTTTGTGTATTCTTTCCCGTGTTACACTTGGCCCAAAGAAGCTAAAGAGTGGATAACTAGGCCTCGCTTTCATAACTGGCCTGATAAAACTTTGATGGACCAGATAGTACGAGGTGGCTGTCATCTTGTCCCTGTAGGAGATAAAACGTCTGATGACCCATTCTTACAATGGAGGATTTCATTTGTTACTGCGGAGAGGCAGCTCATTCATTCCCTCAGTCATGTCCAATTTTTAGTGTACGGACTTCTCAAGTACTTTCTCAAACAGATATCAGGAGAATTGAAACAATTACAAGGAGATACAGATATCCTGACATCCTATATTATGAAAACTGTAATATTATATACAGTAGAAAACACATCAGAATCATTATGGCAAGAAAAACATATTTTTGTCTGTTTTATGCTTTGTTTAAACACGTTGATATCATGGGTGATGGCGGGATACTGTCCTAATTACTTCGTAAACAATAACAACATGTTCCTTGGTAAAGTTAATAGAGAAAATCAAACAAGACTACTCCATTTTCTTTTGGGCCTTCGTGAAATGGCATGGGGATGTTTATCAGTTGGTGCATTGATACAGCCGTCTATAGGTGAACATATTGACCTCGTAGAGAATGGGGTAGTTGATTTCGTACTACCTCTACCAACACAGTTAGAAAAGGATTTGGATAGGCAGAAGTTCGGTGGAATGGCATGGAACACTTGCAAAAATGAAACCCTAGCATTACAAATACTCCTATCTACATCAAAGTCAGACGATGATGAATTCATACGTAGTGTCATGGGAGCTAAAAGGATTTGTTATATAGGAATGAAGACATTTGGTGAGCACGCAGTTATAAGTGGAAACAAAGAGAAATACAAATCTCTCAGGAAATCCAAGAATCTTCTTAAACCACTGGCTTCAATATGTGCAAGTCCAGGGCTACTGACACTGGCAACATATCACTACCAGACTGGAAATTATGTCAAAGCATTAGAAATAAGCGGAGACTTAATATCGTCAAGGAAAGTTTATTTCCCGATGAATGAAAAGTCTGGAGACAAATATGAATCGCTTTATTGTGGACATGGGTACACTCTACAACAGAAATTAAGGGAAGGTGTTGTATTCGATATCATTCTTTTCACAAAAGCGTTACAGTTTTTTCCCTGTCAGCTACACCCGGAAGTCGTAAAATATGCTGAATACACTCGGCTCCCTCCGCTTCCTTACGCCGCGTTCCTGTCGTTTTTGTGTTATCATGAACTCGGCGACACCAGGAGACGTGATGCAGCGTTGACAAACCTTCGAATCGTGAAGTACGACGAGTACCAGGGAGGCGGTGAACGCTGGGCAGTCCACATCCTGTTAGGGATCTGTTATGAAATGGCTGGTGATAAAGAGAATGCACTCAGGGAATATAATGACTCTCTACGTAATCAAAGTTTGGACAGATGTCAAAACACAGCCAAAGAGAGGATAAAAGGTTTGCTTTGCGACAGTTGTAGATTTTAACTGTATCACTTGTACATCATTTATAGACAAGTGAACACTAACGAAATACTTAAACAAAACCTATATCCAGAGAAAAATCTGCAACACCATTCCAAGATATCGTTAAAACAGCCGGAAAAACAACAACACGATTGTTTTGTTCGTTATATACAGAGAAAAAACACGACAAAAAATGACATCGTCAAAACAGAGTAAACCAACACGACAACAAAGAAATCGTTAAAACAGAATCAAACGAACACTACAAAAAAGATATCGTTAAAACAGAGGAAAAACAACACGACAACAAAGAAATCGTTAAAACAGAGAAAACCAACACGACAACAAAGACATCGTTAAAACAGAATAAAAGCATAAAAGATATCGTTAAAACAGAGGAAGAACATAACGACCGTAAAGATATCGTTAAAACAGAGGAAAAACAACACGACATCAAAGACATCGTTAAAACAGAGGAAAACCAACATGAAAACAAAGACATCGTTAAAACAGAGGAAAACCAACACGACAACAAAGACATCGTTAAAACAGAGGAAAAACAACACGACAACAAAGACATCGTTAAAACAGTATAAAACAAACAACACGACAACAAAGACATCGTTAAAACAGAGGAAGAACATAACGACAGTTCAGATATCGTTAAAACAGATGAAAAACAACACGACATCAAAGACATCGTTAAAATAGAGAAAACCCAACACGACAACAAAGACATCGTTAAAACAGAGGAAAAACATTAGGACTGAAAAGATATCGTTTACACTGAGGAAAACCAACACGACAACAAAGATATCGTTAAAACAGAGGAAAACCAACACGACAACCAAGATATCGTTAAAACAGAGGAAGAACATAACGACCGTAAAGATATCGTTAAAACAGAGGAAAAACAACACGACAACAAAGACATCGTTAAAACAGAGGAAAAACAACACGACAACAAAGACATCGTTAAAACAGAGGAAAAACAACACGACAACAAAGAAATCGTTAAAACAGAGAAAACCAACACGACAACAAAGACATCGTTAAAACAGAGTAAAAGCATTACGAAAACAAAAAAATCGTTAAAACAGAGGAAAAACAACACGACAACGCAGAAATCGTTCAAAGAGAATAAAACGAACACGATAACAAAGACATCGTTAAAACAGAGGAAAACCAACACGACAACAAAGACATCGTTAAAACAGAGGAAAAACATTACGACAACAAAGACATCGTTAAAACAGAGGAAAAACATCACGACAACAAAGACATCGTTAAAACAGAGGAAAACCAACATGACAACAAAGACATCGTTAAAACAGAGTAAAAACAACACGAAAACAGAGAAAACCAACACGACAACAAAGACATCGTTAAAACAGAGTAAAAGCATTACGAAAACAAAAAAATCGTTAAAACAGAGGAAAAACAACACGACAACGCAGAAATCGTTCAAAGAGCATAAAACGAACACGATAACAAAGACATCGTTAAAACAGAGGAAAACAAACATGACAACAAAGACATCGTTAAAAAAGAGGAAAACCAACACGACAACAAAGACATCGTTAAAACAGAGGCAGAACATAACGACCGTAAAGATATCGTTAAAAAAAGAGGAAAAACAACACGACATCAAAGACATCGTTAAAACAGAGGAAAACAAACACGATAACAAAGACATCGCTAAAACAGAGGAAAACCAACACGACAACAAAGAAATCGTTAAAACAAAGGAGAAACAACACGACATCAAAGACATCGCTAAAACAGAGAAAATCAACACGACAACACAGAAATCGTTCAAAGAGAATAAAACGAACACGATAACAGAGACATCGTTAAAACAGAGGAAAACTAACACCACGACATCAAAGATATCGTTAAAACAGAGGAAAAACAACACGACATCAAAGACGTTGTTAAAACAGAGGAAAACCAACACGACAACAAAGAAATCGTTAAAACAGAGGAAAAACAACACGACAACAAAGACATCGTTAAAACAGAGGAAAACAAACACGACAACAAAGACATCGTTAAAACAACCAACACGACAACAAGGACATCGTTAAAACAGAGGAAAACCAACACGACAACAAAGACATCGTTAAAACAGAGGAAAACCAACACGACAACAAAGACATCGTTAAAACAGAGGAAAAACAACACGACAACAAAGACATCGTTAAAACAGAGGAAAACCAACACGACAACAAAGACATCTTTAAAACAGAGGAAAACCAACACGACAACAAAGACATCGTTAAAACAGAGGAAAAACAACACGACAACAAAGAAATCGTTAAAAAAAAACAAAGATATCGTTAAAACAGAGAAAAATAACACGACAACAAAGATATCGTTAAAACAGAGGAAAACCAAGACGACAACAAAGACATCGTTAAAACAGAGAAAAACAACACGACAACAAAGACATCGTTAAAACAGAGTAAAACCAACACGACAACAAAGATATCGTTAAAACAGAGGAAAACCAACACTACAACAAAGACATCGTTAAAACAGAGGAAAACCAACACTACAACAAAGACATCGTTAAAACATAGGAAAAACAACACGACAACAAAGAAATCGTTAAAACAGAGGAAAAACAACACGACATCAAAGAAATCGTTAAAACAGAGGAAAAACAACACGACAACAAAGACACCGTTAAAACAGATAAAACCAACACGACAACAAAGATATCGTTAAAACAGAGGAAAAGCATTACGACAACAAAGACATCGTTAAAACAGAGTAAAACCAACACGAAAACAAAGACATCGTTAAAACAGAGTAAAAGCAACACTATAAGAAAGAAATCGTTAAAACAGAGTAAAACCAACACTACAACAAAGACATCGTTAAAACAAAGGAAATACAACACGACAACAAAGAAATCGTTAAAACAGAGGAAAACCAACACGACAACAAAGACATCGTTAAAACAGAGGAAAACCAACACGACAACAAAGACATCGTTAAAACAGAGGAAAAACAACACGACATCAAAGACATCGTTAAAACAGAGGAAAAACAACACGACAACAAAGACATCGTTAAAACAGAGGAAAAACATTACGACAACAAAGATATCGTTAAAACAGAGGAAACCAACACGACAAAAAAGACATCGTTAAAACAGAGTAAACCAAAACGACAACAAAGAAAACGTTAAAACAGAGAAAACCAACACGACAACAAAGACATCGTTAAAACAGAGAAAAAGCATTACGACAACAAAGAAATCGTTAAAACAGAGGAAAAACAACACGACAACAAAGACATCGTTAAAACAGAGGAAAACCAACACGACAACAAAGACATCGTTAAAACAGAGGAAGAACATAACGACAGTTCAGATATCGTTAAAACAGATGAAAAACAACACGACATCAAAGACATCGTTAAAATAGAGAAAAACCAACACGACAACAAAGACATCGTTAAAACAGAGGAAAAACATTAGGACTGCAAAGATATCGTTTACACTGAGGAAAACCAACACGACAACTTTGATATCGTTAAAACAGAGGAAGAACATTACGACAACAAAGACATCGTCTAAACAGAGGAAATACATTAGGACTGCAAAGATATCGTTAAAACAGAGGAAAACCAACACGACAACAAAGATATCGTTAAAACAGAGAAAAATAACACGACAACAAAGATATCGTTAAAACAGAGGAAAACCAAGACGACAACAAAGACATCTGTAACACTTATACAACACTTATAGTATAGACAACAGGACATCAATGTAACACTTATACAACACTTATAGTATAGACAACAGGACATCAATGTAACACTTGTACAACACTTATAACATAGACAACAGGACATCAATGTAACACTTCTACAACACTTATAGTATAGACAACAGGGCATCAATGTAACACTTGTACAACACTTATAGTATAGAAAACAGGACATCAATGTAACACTCGTACAACACTTATAGTATAGACAACAGGACATCAATGTAACACTTATACAACACTTACAGTATAGACAACAGGACATCAATGTAACACTTATACAACACTTATAGTATAGACAACATGGCATCAATGTAACACTTATACAAAACTTATAGTATAGACAACAGGACATCAATGTAACACTTGTACATCACTTATAGTATAGACAACAGGACATCTATGTAACACTTGTACAACACTTATAGTATAGACAACAGGACATCAATGTAACACTTGTACAACACTTATAGTATAGACAACAGGACATCAATGTAACACTTGTACAACACTTATAAACACTATACAACTTATAGTATAGGACATCAATGTAACACTTGTACAACACTTATAGTATAGACAACAGGACATCAATGTAACACTTGTACAACACTTATAGTATAGACAACAGGACATCAGGTAACACTTATACAACACTTATAATATAGACAACAGGGCATCAATGTAACACTTATACAACACTTATAGTATAGACAATAGGGCATCAATGTAACACTTATACAACACTTATAGTATAGACAACATGGCATCAATGTAACACTTATACAAAACTTATAGTATAGACAACAGGACATCAATGTAACACTTGTACAACACTTATAGTATAGACAACAGGACATCAATGTAACACTTGTACAACACTTATAGTATAGACAACAGGACATCAATGTAACACTTGTACAACACTTATAGTATAGACAAGAGGACATCAGTGTAACACTTATACAACACTTATAATATAGACAATAGGGCATCAATGTAACACGTATACAACACTTATAGTATAGACAACAGGGCATCAATGTAACACTTATACAAAACTTATAGTATAGACAACAGGACATCAATGTAACACTTGTACAACACTTATAGTATAGCCAAGAGGACATCAGTGTAACACTTATACAACACTTATAATATAGACAACAGGACATCAATGTAACACTTGTACAATACTTATAATATAAATAGGACATCAATGTAACACCTGTACAACAC